CTTCCAACAACAACGACCACAACAACAATTCACTCAACCTCAATTCATTCCCCAATTCCAAGGTTTTCAATAACAAGTTTCTCCACAACTCCAAACACAATCATCTCAAGTCCCATTAACTCAATCCCAAACCGTCAACCTCGACAACGACGATGAAATGGTCCAAGAAACACCACAACCATCTCGAAGAAGGCAACCAAAAGGAAAAGGGAAAAAGAAAGCAACGACTTGGAACGAAAAAGAAGAAGAAGCTTTAGCAAAAGCTTGGATTTTCATATCCTGTGACTCGAGGAGAGGCAACGCGCAATCTGGAGAAAGTTTTTGAAATCGTGTTTTGGACCACTTTCACGCGCTTCTTGGAAGGAAAACAGATCGGTCCTACGACGCGGTCAACGGAAAATGGCGTGATCTTCGCGCGATTTGCACAAAGTTTAATGGCATATTTGAAAATCTAAAAAATATGCATAAAAGTGGTTCCAACGATTTCAACATTTTATCAACCGCGTGCTACCAATTCAAAGTGACCAACAACGGTAAACCATTTGGTCACCAAAAAGCGTGGGAAGTGTGCTGTCAAGGTCCAAAATGGGTCCTTAATCCAGAGACATCGCATTCAGACTCGACCACCGGCTCCAACAAAAGAACAAGAACTTCTGAATCGGACGCGGGTTTTGGGTTAGACCTCAATGATGACGTCGATGTTGCCGAGGGAGAGGGTCCACCTGAAGTCCAACTCCGTCGACCACCGGGAAGGGACAAAGCAAAACGGGCGGCATCTTAAGCGGGAAAGCAACTGCAACTAGCGACGACGGACTTGTGGAATCCATAGATAAAACTAAGTTTTCTAAAAAGAAAATACGAATCCACGGAGGAATCTCATCGCCAAAAAAGCGCTCTTACCGATCTTCAAATCATAAACTCGAAGCCCCTACCGGATCTCGACCCCGAAAATCTCACGACATTTCTCAAAATCCAACAACGTGTCCGTGCTAAGTATGAGGATTTGGTTCTAATATTTATGTTTTAGTTGTTATGTTGTGTGTTTTTTTTGAGTAATTTAGGATAAATAAATAGTTTAAGATTTTTTTTTTAAATATTTTAGGATAAATAAGTAATGTTGGATTTTTTTTGTTGTTTTTTTAAATATTTTAGGATTTGACTTTTTGTGTTTTAAAATTAATGCAATGTGTTTTAATTTAGTGTTTTTAATGTGTGTTTTATTTAAATTACTTTTTTTAATTTAATTAAATATTGTCAAAAAAAAGAAAAAAGAAAAAAAAATGATGTGAAGTGTTAACTATTTCCAAAGGTTAGTGGGTTGGTAGTGAAGGTGATGTGACGCTGATGCGACCTCACTTTTTGAATATGTTGGATGTGACTATACCGCTTAGCCTTACGTGCGAGAGCTGAGTAGAAGCAAAAGCAAAAGTGTAGAAGCAGAAGCAAAAGCAAAAGTGGAATTAACAGCGAATGTACCGAACTCGAAATTTGGTATATTGGACAAAAACAGAATATACCTGTTACAAACGACGTCATATCAGTTGGCGGGCAGTGATTTGTTTGTGACAGACGTGTTTCATAAGCAACACGACATTTACCAGATTTTAAAATCGACGGTTCACGTTGATTTTGATTGTACGTTACGCTACTTTTATTTTTTTAGGGACTGGGTGCACGTGACAAACCAATGGCGTACGCTATGTCGACCACCTAAAAGAAATATAGAGGTGGACGTTACGCTGATTTACTTGTACTACCATCGTTACCATTCATCGGGTCCGCACACGCCGCACCACAGCAACTAGCAAACCAAATGGCGTCTTTTATAACGCCACCTCCTCATCTCCTGTGTTTGTTATTTAATTATAGTTTTAATTTTAATTTTTAATTAAAATTGGTAAAATCTATAAATTTAAATCGCAAACGGCGACAGCCTCTTCCCTTCAATCTAGGTATCGTGCTTCTCTCTCCACCACCATTACCACCCTCAATTCGGCGTCGTTCCTTTCTCTTCATCCTCTCTGTTTTCTGGTAATCTAAACTCTTCTCTTCTCTTATGTAAATAAATTGTTTTCAATATTAGCTTCCAAATGTATGCGTGCGTATATTTTTGAAGATTTTGTTGTTGATGTTGATTGTTATGTATAAACTTTTGATCTGAATATTTTTGAAATTTGCTCGTTTTTCATTTTGATTGCTTTTATTGGTCTGTCATGCTTTTACGTATATTTACCGTGACAAATGCGCAAATTCAAATATTGGTTTCAGTTTGAATCTGCGATCTCACTATACTTATGTTTTTGTTATTTGCACATTTTCGTTCTTTGAATACTTTTTGGTCGTAACTAGATTCTTGAATTGCAATGGTGGATTTGTTTAGTTTCGGTTTTTGATTGTAGTAGTCTAGTAGATGCTTTGTGTTATGTTTGTTCCTAATGGTCTAAAATATAAATTAACTGGATGGATGCTTAATATGGTGGGTATATTCTGCCTGAAAATTGTGTGTTTGATCTGATTAATGACTGGTTGGTTAAAATGCTATTTTGTGCTCTGTCATGTGGAGTTTTATCAGTAGAATGAATAACTACTTTGCAATTGCAACTCCATTTTTCTGGGAGGTGCTATAAAGAATATCCATACCATTGAATTGGAATTTGGAAAGAGATAGGTGTTGCTGTTGATTGTGGGGGGATTTGTGAATAAAAGAATAGTTGTTGTTAACTGCAACTCTACCTTTTGGGAATGTTTCCTGAAGGAGTCAGAAAAAGCTTGGATGATAGAAGTATAAAAGTAATCAGTCATGTGTTAAGGTTTTAGGGTTTTAACTTGAGGTCTGTAACTATTTGATTTGATGCTCAAAATCATGTAATCACAAGAATTGGTTTAGTTCGATTATGCATGAGTGAGTGTGAGAGTGTCACTAACATCAGGTAAAAAATTTCAGTAATATTCTTCCCACTACATAGAACCATATCTTACTAAGAGACATTGTTCATTTACCCCTACCCTGATTTCCCTTTTATCAATTTGTGTAGGGCAGATCTATGCAATGTTGTTTTGCATGCTATATGTATTCATTCTCCTGTAAACTTTTTAAAATGCTCCATCTCTACTTTATGTTATAGTGTCAATAACAGAAGGAGTTTTCAGTATGTGAAAGTGAAAGAAAGTTATGCTAGTAATTTTATTGTATTGCAGAAATGGCGTCTTGTGCAAGTGAAGGTCTATATCCTCTGCATAGGTCTAAAACCATTCATCTGGTATGTTTTATTTCTATTTATTAACCTCCACTCCTCCTTGGTCTATGTGTTGTTTATCTGATATGTTTTATTTCTATTCATCTTTTTTGTGGTTTTAATGTAATTACTAGGTGAGGCATGCTCAGGGAATCCACAATGTGGCAGGAGAGAAGGACCACAGTGCATATCTATCTGAACAACTGTTTGATGCACAGCTTACCCCTCTTGGTTGGCAACAGGTTTACTACTCTTTTTTCTTTTTATAATCTTATTTATTGACATCTATTTCCAAAGGACCTATTTTCTTCGAATATTAGTAATTAGCAAAACAAATTCGGCTTTTCCAAAAGCAAATCCACTTGAAAGAAAGATGAAACCTGCTAAAATGATCAGTTATTCGAGGGTTGAATGTTTATGGCTTTTAATCAAGTCAGAAGGTGGATCCCCCCTCCCCCCTTTTTTTTTGTCTTTTTACAGATATGGGTTAATTGTATTTTTAACTCCACTGCACCAATAATAGCAACACGCTTATATTTTGCAATTTTCCCAAGTAAAAATAAACAAACAAGAAATGTCAGTCATATATGTGAAACAATAGGTGATTAAATCACAATGTCTATCATGTTCAAACTTTCATACATATATATATATATATATATATATATATATATATAT